GAGAAAATTTTGTCGACATACAGTTATAAAGCAAACGTGTTGCTGCCACAATAGGCTCTGCTTATTCATCCTTGCACAGAAATGAAGTTCTCTAAATTATCAAGAGAATAAAGATAGTTAGTAGGTACGATGAACAAAGAGATATTTACTTCAGAAAAAGATAGTAGGAACAATGAACAAATAGATATTTACTTGAAAGTTTACCAAACTAACACTGAAAATTATCAAAACAACAAAGATATTTAGTAGGAATGACGAACAAATAGATATTTTACCTGAAAGTTTACCAACTCACACCGAGAATTAACAAGACAAAAAAAGATATTTAGTGATGAACAAATATATATTTACTTGAAGTTTGCCAAACTAACACTGAGAATTATAAAGACAAAACAAGATATTTAGGAGGAATGATGAACAAATAGATAGAGAATTATCAAGACAAAGCAAGATATGTAGTATTAACGATGTTGAAAGTTTACCAAAAAGACTAACACAAAGAATTATCAAGACAAAAATGATATCTAGCGAGGCGATGATTTACTTAAAAGTTCACCAGAAAACTAACACTGAGAATAATGGTACATAGATAATATTTTTGATAAAATACATAGATAGTTAAGAGAACATTAATTATCAAACTTTTTCATGATCATATCCATTTCCACATCATGAATGAATCAAGCAAAACTCTTACTTCAGTATTCCCAGAAATACTCAAATCACACCAAGTCGCATGAATTCATCTCCATATGTTGGTAACATATCACTAATGAAAAATAAACACAAGACAAACATGATAAAACAGAGTTTCTTCTATTTTAAAGAGAGACAAAAAGAAATGATTTCAAAATTCAATGTTGAAAAAGTGATAGTCCTTACACAAATATATTGTGGTTGAAGGAGGTATGGGCAAAAATGCAAAATTAGCACTCAAGGATTCATGAAAATTGGAAAAGCTCTTTATGGGTCCCAAATCCTCTCAGATCTCACTTGAAAAAAGGAGAAAGCCCCACTTTCTTAAACAATTCTTATTAGTCTCCAATTATAAAATTTCTCAGTCCCCACTCAGTAATCATCTCAAGCTATATATAAGACCACATTGAATTCCCCAAAACTTTAAGAAGCTAAT